CCTAGGGACCTCCTCGTGGGCTTCACACACAGATCAAAGTGATGTTCACAACAAACTAGGGCACAGCCTCAGAGTGAGGAAAACATGCTAGAAAATACAATCCTAGGCAGAGGCTGCTGTGGTTTCCGGACTTTGAGTTTCTGAAGTTAAAAATCCCTAAGCTAGCACAAGTCAAGCCTAGAAAGGCTACTAGACATAGTCATATTTCGAAGGGTAAGAGCGTCTTCCATCCTCACTTCGAGGAGCTTCTTCATATCCTGCTGCCTTCCTGGGCTTTGCTTCATGCTCATAGCCTGAGCCACCCTTGTAGGGCCCAGTCCTGTAGGAGATATTCCGTCCTGAGGCATTGTAGGACACAGCTTTGTACCTGGAAGAGATACCACAGTTGGCATCAGCCTCTGGAAGGGCTGTGAGTACCCAACACTGCACCCTGTGCTCCTCTTTGCTCTTGGGTTTGAGGCAACTTTGCATTGGGTCATCACTTGGAGACACTCATTGAGTTCAGAGTCCACCAGCCATGGACAAGCTGCAAATCTCTGGCATGATTTTTCATTAACTTTTTCTCCCAGGAATAAATCCTTAGGTGAGTGAAGGATCTTACCTGTAATAATAACCAGCTCTGTAGCTGCACAAAGCCTGATGGGAATACCCCAACCCTGGAAGGCTTCAAGGCCAGGCTGGATAGGGCTTGGAGCAACAGAGATGCTCCAAGGGCTGGAGAGAGCTGGGGGTGTCCAGCCTGGAGAAGAGAGGCTCCAGAGAGACTTTAGAACCCCTTCCAGTGGCTAAAAGGGCTTCATGAGAGCTGGAGAAGGACTTTGGATAAGGGATGGAGGGACAGGACACAGGGAATGGCTTCAAACTAGTTTAGGTTGGCTATTGGGAAGGAATTCCTGGCTGTGAGGGTGGTGAGACACTGGCACAGGTTGCCCAGGGAGGCTGTGGTTGCCCCAACCCTGGCAGTGTTCACAGCCAGGGTGTTTCCAGCCTCTCAATGGACTGATATGGAAAAATTTTGGCACTGTTAGGGTACTCAGACACTGGAATATTGCCCAGGGAGGTGGTGGAGTCACCAGCTCTGGAGGCGTTTAAGAGGCACTGGAGGAACTGGTTTAGGGTTTACAGCAGTGAAAGGTCAATGGTTGGACTTGATGATCTTAGAGGTCTCCTCCAGCCTTGATGGTTCTATGACTGTGTGATAAATATTGCACCTGAGGTGTTACACTGAGAACATCCTGTGCTGTTTGCCATCCCAACACCTCCATACAAGCCCTTGCTATGTGTGCCACAGCTCAGCTTACCTGGATTCCTCTGGAATGAGCCCTCTGCAAGCAATGCACATCAAGATGCCTCCTACCAGGGCCAGGCCTCCTGCCACCCAGCCAACAAACAGAGCTGAGCCAAAGGTGTACCTAAGGACAGAGATGGGGTGGTTAGTGCTGTGACAGTGCTCCTGTCTCCTCCTTCTGGAATGCACTGAACATTCTCATCCTCCCTCTGGCCCTGCACAAATCCCCACAAGTCCCACCCATAGGCTCATCCTGAATGGGTTCCCCACCTCCTTCTGGAGTTGCATGACCAGAGATATCCCAGCCAAGCTGCTTCTCTTCAGTGCAGATAAGAGCCTCAATAAATAATCCAAGTCCTGCTGCCATCTCAACATACTTCCAGAGTTTCCCTTTCCTGTGGCTGCAGCCCTGGGGGACATTTCCACTGTCAATCTGCTTCTAGAACACACTGAACATTGGCCTTGCAGAAGTCCCACCTCAATGGGACTTCTCAATGGCTCATCCTCAATGGGTTCCCTATCTTCTTCTGGAGTGGCATGACCAGACACATCCCAGCCAAGCTGCTTCTCTCCACTGCAGATAAGAGACTCAATAAATCATCCAAGTCCTGCTGCCATCTCAACATACTTCCAGAGTTTCCCTTTCCTGGTTAACTGCAGCCCTGAGGGAGATCTCCCAGGCTCCCACCTACCTAGTCTGGACGTTCTGCATTCCCTGGTACATGCTGTTGGTTGACATCCAGAAGTTTGTGACCAACATGTTGGCAAACACAGACACTCCAGTGATGGCACACAAGCCTGAGGTCAGACAGAAGGACAACACTGAGCTCCACACAGTACAAACAGTCACCTGTGGCCTTGGGGAAGCACTTTAGAGGTCTGGAAAGATGGGGCAGATCCTGCTCTTTGAGCACCCACAATATTGTCCACATTCCTGGCAGGATTTCCTTGCATTCCCAGCCCAGCAGCAGGAACACAATGGCACA